ATGGAGAGTCTTGCCAGTGGAGGTTTATGGGAGTTTTCTTATCTCCCTACGTCTTTATGCACTTAAAAGAAAAGTCTTTTTATCCAGATTGGGTCATTTCTGTGGGCCTCTCATTCATTGACTCCTTTGTCGTCCTCCCATTGATCCTCAGGGCTCTGTTATAATCCTTCTGCCGTCAATGGCTCCTCCAAGTTGTAACTCCCCTCCATAGTCAGTCTGCTTAGGTGCTGTTATTTTTTTTCTTTTTTAAAGAAAACGTTATTTTAATTCTTATTTTAACGAACATTTACAGAGAAGTTCGATTTTTGTTCATTCATTGTTGCACATTTTACCCCCTCTACCTTCTTTCCACCTCCCCCAGTTAACTTTTTTTAAAAAAAAAAATGTGCTTGCTTTTGTTTTTGTTTCATTTCCATCAGAGTCCACGAGAGGGATGGCTTCGTAGTTGACTTAGTCCATCTTGGCTGTGAGCCTGGATTTTGTCTGCCTTTTCTTGACCATCTACAACAACACTTGTATAAATACATGAATAAATACACTACCTACTCATCAAAGAGTTTTTAGATACATGCTTGAATTTTCCTTTCTTTTTCTTTGTCTTGTCTGGCAGTTCACCCATTGAGTCCCTTTGATCTCTTCCTTGAAAACGTAAGTTCCACAAGTGCCACCATAACGTGGAAGATGCGCCCCCTGGGGATTAAGTCCACGTTTCTGTGTCAGGTTCAACTCCATCATGACAGACAAGTGATACAAGTAAGAGCTTTGTTTTCCAATTGCAAAAAATCCTGTCTGTCCAGGACAGAGAGACTTCTGGGGGAAGAATGTTTATTGAAACTCTCAATTCTGAATCGGTTTCTATGATGTGGGTTATCTGCTTAAAAATGTTCACAAAATTAATCCTTTTAGAATTAAGACTTTTAGAACGCAGAAAAGAGTCATAAAGATTTGTTTTCTCCCCAGAAGAAGAAATAATCTTACCTCAAAGGGTTTGCTCTTTTCTTGATGGGCTTTCCAGTGAAGTATTATCTCTGATTGATTCTTTAAAAAAAAAAGAGTTTATTTTTGTTACGGTTTTATTGAATATGTATACCACAGGGGACCCACCAATTCAGCAATATTTAAATGTACAACTTAGTGACCTTGATCAGTTTTTTCAAGTTGTGTAACCTTTTTTATCCTCCTTTACTGAATTTAAATTCTTCCTTCCCTATTAACATAGGCTAATTACTCCCCAAGTTACCTATCCATACCTGTTCAATCTGTATGTCAAGCAAATCATCTGAGAAGCTGGACTTTATGAAGGAAAGTAACATTAAAGAAGAGACACATGCACAACCTTGTTTGTTGGAAGCAAGGAGCATCTGTGGGGCTTGCTGCAAAGGATCAGAGGACTCCAGTCTTCAATATAGATTACATCTCAGCATCAAGTAAAGAAAAATTCTCACCAGTGAGCAACATCATAATAGATGCACAGAAGATTGAAATTGGCAACTATTTCATCTTACGAACAACACTGGGGTGAGCTGGAGACTTATAAACATTGGGAAGGTCTGCTGTCATAGACCTCTTCAAAGGCCTGAGTAGCAGTTAAATCAGTCTACAGGTTAGAGGTGTATCTGATTCAAGACGTAGTCTTTCCAGTCACCTGCTTTGCATCTGAGAGCTGGATAGTAAATAACAATGACAGAAGAAGAAGCAACACCTTTTAGTTAAAGTACTGGAGAAGCATGTTGAATGGACTGCCAAAAGAATAATATTTCTTGTAAAAGTGAAACCAGAGTGCTCCTTGGTGGCAAGGTTGGGGAAAGCGTCATTTTACGCATTTTGAGAATGGTGAGAAGCTATTCCTTGGAAAGGGACTTCATGTGTGGAAATGTGGAGGGTCAGCAAAAGAACATGACCCTCAGCCAGGTGGATTGACACCATGACTGCTGCAGTGGGCTCAGAATGTATCAGATGATGAGGATGACACAGTGTAGGACACAGTTCTCATCTGTTATTCATAGGGTCGTAATGAGTTGTACTCTACTTGAGGACACCTATACACTATCAGATTAACTAATTGTCAGTTTGATCCCACTCTCGTAGCATAGCAGTTAGCTACGTAGCTGCTAACCAGCTGGAGCTTTGAACCCAGGAGCCTTTCTTTAGAAGAAAGATTTAGAAATTTGCTCTTGTAAATATTCACAGAACACTGCCCTGCTGGGGTAGTCCATTCTATGTTACACTCACTGCTAATCAGTCAAAAGGCCCTCCTCTCTGGTAGTTCAAATCTGCCAGCAGTATCTATGCAAAAAAGATGCACATTCCCCTTTGCTGTGAGAATTGACTCAATGATCGAGTTTGATGGGTTTTTTGAATGATACCCTGTTGTTAGATTATGTTGTTGTTGTTATGTGCCATCGAGTCACTTGCGACTCATAGAGACCTTATGTACAACAGCCCTAAACTCTGCTCTGTCCTGTGCCAATTGCACTGTCTCTGACACTCCCATCGCGATTATCCCAGTCACTGAATCAGTCCACCTCATAGAGGGCCTTCCCCTCCTGTGCCATCCCTCCACCCTCCCAAGCATGATGTCCTTCTCCAAGGACCAGTCTCTCCTCACAACATGTCCAAAGTATGTTAGATGGAGCCTCAGAATCCTTGCCTCCAAGGAGCCACCCAGTTTAACCCTTTGCAGGACGAATCTGTTTGTTTTCCTAGCAGTCCATGGTATTCTCAATACTCTTCTCCAGCACCACAGCTCAAAGGCATCAATTCTTCTATCCTCTTTGGTCATTGTCAAACTCTCTGATGCATAACAAGTGATTGTGAAGACCATGGCCTGTATCAAACGCACCTTCGTCTCCAGAGAGACACCATTGCTCTTCAGTACTTTAGAGAGGTGCCTAACAGCAGACTTTCCCATGACAATACGCCTTTTAATTTCCTGGCTACTGGTGCCAAGACTGTTGACTGTGGAGCCAAGCAGACTAAAGCTGTGTACAATCTGAATCTCTTCCCCATCCATCCTGATGCTGCCAATTGGTCCAGTGGTGAGAATCTTTGTCTTCTTGACATTGAGCCTCAATCCATATTGGAGGCTGCAGTCCTTGACACTCTGCAGTAGGTGCTTCAGGTCCTCTTCAGTTTCAGCAAGCAGGCTTGTGTCATCCACATAACGCAGACTGTTGATAAATCGTCCACCAATCCTGACCCTACATTTCTCCTCATAGAGCCCAGCCTCCCGGATAATCTGTTCTGCATATAGGTTGAAAAGGGATGGAGATAGGATGCATCCCTGGCGTACGCCCTTCCCAATTTTGAACCATGCAGTGTTCCCTTGCTCTGTTCTGACGACTGTCTCCTGGTCCAAGTATGTTTCACATTAGAACGATCAAGTGTTCTGGGATTCCCATTCTTCTCAGAGTCAGCCACAGTTTGTTATGATCCACACAGTCAAATAACTTTGCATAGTCAATGAAACACAGGTAGGAAAATCTGTGGGTCAAGTCTGGTCAAGCCACAATGAGTCAGAATCACCTTCAGGGCAAACAACACAATTAATTCTTTGAAAGAGCATGATGGAGGCAGACATTGTTTACTAAGTGACCTAAACTGGTTTGAAGAAACCTCTTGAGGATACTTTTGATTTAAAATGTAAAGATTATCACTAAGCAATAGTTTGGAGATTCATCCACCTTTGGTTGTTCCAGAAAAATCTAGATTCCTTGAGATTGTGAAATTCTGCACCTCATTTTACCCCCTTTTGATGAGAACACTTTTATTGAATTGTAAATCAACATAGACAGGCCCCATTCAGTTCTAATCTCCTACCAATGGAGATAGTTGTTCATGGAGGGAATTAGTTACATACTCCATTTCTTTCTCTTACTCCATGGTCTTTTCAGTCACTTGCTACGTATCTAAAAGCTGGACAGTGACTAAGGATGGTGGAAGAAGATTCAATGCCTTTGGATTATGGTGTTGGAATCTCTTGGAGACAAGGATGATGAAACTCCGTGTCTCACATGCTTTGAGCATGTTGTTAAGAGGGACCAGTCCTTGGAGAAGGGCATCATTCTTAGAAAGGAGGAAGATCTGCATAAGAGAAGACCCTCAGTGAGATGGAATTGATGCAGTGACTGTAGCAATGAACTCAAGTGTGTCAGAGTTGATAAGGTTGGCTCAGGGTGAGGTAAGATTCAGAGCTGCTGTTGGTCAGATTGCTGTGAGCTGTAGATAACAGCACATAACAACAATTCTTGACTCATTTGCTTCTCAATTTATTCTAGGTAAAAGAAACTAATTGTTGTATCTTCAGATTAACCAGTTCTCTTGTTTCTCTCTTTTTTGTCTTGTATTTTTTTGGTTTTGTGTTGTTTTGTTCTTTTATCCCTTGCGTTTTGCTTGTTTGTTTGACCAAGCAGCAGAACAATGTCTCCATGAAAGATAAAGGTAAATGCCTTCTCAGTGAAATGCAACCTGACACTCATTATCTGGTCCAAGTGCGCTGTGCTGATGGCAACTATTTCTGGAAATGGAGTGAATGGAGTATGAAGAAACTCACCACACTTGAAGCTCGTAAGTTCAGCTTCTTGACATTTAACCCACAGATCTAATCTGATCCACAAGAAAGAAAGTGGCTTACCTCATAGCTTTTGGTTGTACCAAAAACTAAAAGAAAAATATTAATGCAAAGACCAAGCATCATCTTTTTCTAAACTCTAAATTAAGTGCCTAATGAGATGTGAATGGGCAAGCAGCCATTTCAGATCTTTAACATCAGTGTTATTTCTATTGTACATTTTCTTTCTGACCATTAAGTTGCCAAAATAGTTTCTGTGCTTGACTATCAAGTATAATTAAATTTTATTAAGGAATTTTATTAAAGAATTATTTTAACAGCTGAATATCTTTTTTTCTATTTTAATGAAAGTTTACAGAGACATTGGATTTCCATTCATTCATTGTTGCACTCTTTCTTCCCTGCCCACCCCTTATTAAAGAATTCTAACTTAAATAATCCTGTTTTGTGGAGGGCTTTGGAGGCTGTTATTTGATTTTGCATATTTATTGCGACATTATAACTTCAATGACATATTTAGGAAAAAATGAGTAAGGTGTTTACTAAATTATTTCTGTTACTGTGTAATAAGCATAAGTGACTTCTGATGATGAGAAAAAAAATGAAATATCTACTGATATTATTTTGGATAATTGATACCGAGTTGTTATTCTTATTTGCTGTCAGAACCCACTCATAGCTGACCCTCAGTGGGTTTTCAGAGGCTGTAAATCACATGTCCACCCTTCTTTCTAACAGCAGCTGATAAGTTAGGAATTCGAACTGTGCCAATTCGGATTGCTGTGCAGCTTCTTACCATAGACCACTTATGTATAATATAATCATACTTAAGTGCCCTAATGGTACAGTAGCTAGGTGCTGCTAACCAAAAGGTCAGAAGTTCAAATCCACACTAACGGAGAAAAGGGTAATCCGTTTCTGTACAGTTTACAAACTGAGAAAGCCTATGGGACTTTCTACTCTGTCTCGTAGGTTAGCTGTGAGTCACAGCTCCCTAAGGACAGAGCTCCCTTAGGACACCATAGTAGAGACCATACAGTTTATGTCGCATTTGACTCTATGGCACAGTACTCTTGTTAAGCGTAGTGATTTTAAAATTAACTCAAAACTTTTTGTTGAAATTGGAGTATGGCTTCACCAGTGGCTTAATTATTTATCAATTTGAAATCTACTTCAGTAGTAGATAAAAAAAAATCTCTTGCTAGCATTAAGTTGAGTACAAAATGTTAACTAAAAGTTAGTGCTTAATGAAATTTCAATTCTTGGAAACAGCATATTTCTAAAGATACTCTATATTGTCAGAAAATAGAAAATAGGGAGACATGAAAAAATTACTGGCCAAGCTTTGAAACAAGGTAAAAAAACACAGACAAGAGGAAGAGAATGGAGTAGATAGTGAACATTGCATTGGAACAGAGTCGGGGAAGAACTGTCTACCAGGAATATATCATCGTTGTTGTAAGTGCCGTCGAGTCGTAGACAATTCATGGCAACCCTATAACCAAAAGACCTGAACACTTGTATAACTTTCATCATTTCTCTAAGTTCATAGAGTCTCAAGCTATTTTGGAAGTGGATGCCACTCCTGCTTCCAAGCTTGTTTTAATTGGGGAGCTCCACCAAACACTGTCCACCATGGGTAACCATTATCACATTTGATGCATCACTTGTCACGGCAACCAAGAGTCACCTCTGTACAGCAAAAGGACAGACCAGTGCTATACCACTTAGAAGAATGTTTGACCAAAAACAATTAAAACCAGGCTTGAGGGCTGCAGATTAAAATCATCAGTCTTTGACTTGGTAGTGTAACTTTCTATCCACCAGGCCCACAGAGCTCTCTATATGTTGGTGTTGGTGTTGTTAAGTGCTGTCGAGTTGTAGATGATTCATAGAGACCTTATGAACGAAAGACTTGAACACTTGCATGCTTTGCATCATTTCTCCAAGTTCATAGAGTTTCCAAAAGCAAGGTATTTTGGAAGTGGATTCCACTCCTGCTTCCAAGCTTGTTTTAATTGGGGAGCTCCATCAAACACTGTATGATTAGGCATTGTATATAAGATAATACTCTGGAACAAGAGGTGCATTGCAGGACAGATTAGGGGAAGGAAAGGGGACAGGGGGAAATCTGCCACCCTGAATGAATGAAAAGCCAACCTTTCTGTAAATTTTCATAAAAATCACAATAAATATATACGTATAAAAACTAACAGTAAAAAGCCCTACAAACAATAGTGTTAGCAACTATGTTAGTATTTTTCATGTATTTTTATTAAGTCTTTTTAAAAAATTGTATTAAGAAACTTTGTAATACTTTCACCTTTAGTAAGGAAAACTTTTCTCAGATGAGGATTTTATCTTTAAAAATGCAAATTGTATTGGAGATGTTATAGATTCTTTTCAGAAAGCTAGGACAAAATTTTAACGTGCTCACAAATGTGGTGGCTGAGGAGAATTTGAGTTCCAGCTTTTGGACATGGAGCCAGTACTCTGTTATGGCTCCGGCACACAGGGATAGTAGTACCTGTGAGTCCTCTCCTAGCTTGGCTTCATATTAACACCACAACAGTGACTTTGGTGTTTTGAGCATTTATATGACGAATTGTATTGGGAAAGTCTGCTGACAGGGACCTCTCCAGAGTCCTGAAAAGCTACGATGTAGGTCTGGAGACTAAGGTGCACCTGATCCAGTTAATGGGTTTTGTAGTTGCATGCTATGTGTCAGAAAGCTGGACAATGACTAGAGATGATAGAAGGAGAATTGATACCTTTGAGCTGTGGTGCTGGAGAAGAGTATTGAATATACCAAGGACTGCCAAAGAGAACAAACAGGCTCTCCTTGGAGGCAAGAATTCTGGAGCTCCGTCTGATACTTTGGGCGTGTTGTAAGGAGGGACCAGTCCTTGATGATGGAGAGGGACATCATGCTTGGGAGGGTGGAGGGACAGTGCAGGAGGGGAAGACCCTCAATGAGATGAACTGACTCAGTCACTGGGGTTATGGTAGTAGGTGTGTCAGAGACAATAAGTTTGGCTCAGGATAGAGCAGGTTTCAGAGCTGTTGTACATAGAGTTGCTCTGAGTCACAGGCAACTTGATGGCACACAACAACAGCATCCTGATAAGCATCCTGATAGAGCACTCTGGTGACATAGTCCTTAGGGAGTTGCACTGCTGTCCCAAAGACACCCTCTCTCTGGTGGGTCATATCCCCCAGCATCTCTGTGGGATCAAGTTGGACCATCTCCTCCTGTGCAATTTATGGCCTAATGGAGGGCCAGCTATGAGCAGGTTCTGACTCGACGGCAGTGGATTTGAATTGAGTTACATCCTGTTACTTCTTGTACCTTAAGCATGTTGTAAATTCTCTTTTGTTTTGGTTTTTTTTTTTTTTTGCTGTTCATTTAGTCAAGTGCAAGTCTTCTTACCATGACAGACTTCCAAGTGTAGAAAACTTTACATCACTGATAATTTATCATATTGCCGTTGTTGATAGGTGTTGCCAAGTTGAGTATGACTCATAGCAACCCTATGAACAACAACGGATCTGAACCTTGTCCTATCCTATGCCAACCTAACATTTCCTGACACCGAGAGCCCATTGCAGCAGTCAGTCTACCTGGTTGAGGGCCTTCCTCTCCATTGCTGACACTCCACCCTTCCCAGCATCATGTCCCTCTCCAAGGAATAGCACCTCCTAGCAACAAGCCCAAAGTAAGTGAGGTGAAGCCTCATCATTCTTGCCTCCAGAGAGCACTCCGGCTGCACCCTCTACAAGACATAACCTATTCGTCCTCTTGGCCATCCATGGGATGTTCAGTGCTCTTCTCCAACATCTGAGTTCAAAGGCATCATTTCTTCTTCAGTCATTTTTACTCATTGTCCAGCTCTCAGATGCATAGCAAGTGAAAGTGAAAGCCTGTGGCCTGAATCAGACACACTGTAGTCCTCAAACTGACATCATTACCCCTCAATAATTTGGAGAGGTCCGTAACTGCAGAATTTATCATATTAAATTATGAATTGTCAACTTTTTAAAAATGTACCCATTTTAGTAGTATTTTCACAATATTTTAAATAAGCATCCAAGTTATCCTACTGGTTGCACTCTGGTTGCTTTGGCTGTGTTCTCAATATGAGTTACGTGTAGAACATGGACCTTTAGGATCCATGGAGCAAGCGTATGTTCTGACTGACATATTTAACATATGTCATAATTAACATATGAAAAGTTACATAGCCCTCTATTGACATATTAATGGGTCACAGGAGTTAATGAAATGGAATAAGCATAGTATTTTTTAACTCATTTTTGTAAAAACAGACCATGGTTAAATTTTATGTAGTAGGTTATGCTCCCAGATGGGTGCTTTTGGGTGGTGAGAGCCAATGGGAATGCTTGATTATGGAGGAATGTGGTATGATGGACCTCATGGAGTTTGAACCATGCCTTGGTTCTTAAAGTCAGTTGAAAATTGGGGAAACAACGGAATGCTCCCAGACAGGCACTTTTGAGTGGGGAGAGCCATGGGTTTAATTGTTTTTGGTTAAACATTCTTCTAGGTGGTATAGCCCTGGTCTGTTCATTTGCTGTACAGAGATAACTTGTGTTTTCTATGATGCTTAACACTGTGACACTGATATGTCAAATGCAATAATGGTCACCCATGGTGGACAGTGTTTGGTGGAGCTCCCAGATTAAAACAAGCTTAGAAGCAGAAGTGGCATCCACTTCCACAAAAGCTTGCCTCCGGAAACCCTATGAACTTGGAGAAAGGATGAAAGTCATACAAGGGTTCAGGTCTTTCATTCATAGGGCCTCTATGAGTCATCTACAACTCAATGGCACTTAACAGCAACAACAAGTGATGACTAAAAGACCTTTTCAAAATGTTAAAATAGCTGTATTGATTTTCTCATTGTCCTCATCATTGAGCCATCAGTTGTGAGGGTGCTGGTGGATTGGGTGGGGTTTTGTGTTGTTTATTGGAGCTGACTGGACAGTCCTTAGCAACAGAGAAAAGTAAGCAATGCTACTCAGTGGAAAGGTGAAAAACATGCCTCAGTTAGGATGCTATTGGTCATGTTGTTGTTGTTGTTGTTAGGTGCTGTCAAGTCTGACTCACAGTGACCCTGTGAACAACAGGTCTGTATTGTGCCAGCCCATCATCTCTGACCCACGTGAGCCCAGCTGATGGATTGGGTCACAGTCATCACCTTGCTCAGTATGTCAGTGATTGTTGTTGTTATGTGTCATTGAGTCACTCATGACTCATAGGGACCCTATGTACAATAGTCCTGAAACCTGCTCTACTTGTGCCAACTTTACTATCTCTGATACACCTACACTCATTAACCCAGTCACTGCATTAATCCATCTCCTCGATAGTCTCCCTCTCTTTCTCCATCTCTGTCCTTCTCTTTCTCCGTCTCTGTCCTTCCAAGCATGATATCCCTCTCCAAGAACCAGTCCCTCCTTACAACACGCCCAAGGTATGTCAGGCAAAGCCTCAAAATCCTTGTTTCCAAGGAGCAGCCTGGCTTCACCCTCTGTAGGACGAACTTGGCAGTCCATGGTATATTCAACACTATTCCCCAGCACCATAGCTCAAAGGTATCATCAGTTCTCTTTCTATCATCCCTAGTCATTCATTGTCCAACTCTCTCATGAATAGCAAGCAATTGCAATAGCTGATGTTAAATCGAACCTTGGGTCTCCATGACTTTCAGGACAAAACTCTGCTCAGTCCTATGGGTCAGACCATGGTGACCAAGAAGGTCTTCAGGTCATACAGGCTCTTGTCGTTTCCTTGAGTGAGCTAGAGAAGGGGTGAACGGGGTACTCTGTGTGCACAGGTGCTGTTACTGAGAACTATCCTCTGATTCATTTCAGCTCCCTCGGTGGCGCCTGATGTATGGAGACTCGTGACATCAGGGCCAGACGGTTATAAAGTGAAGTTGTTCTGGAAGGTAAGGTGCCCAGGCCCCAAACATGGATTTGCTTGGTATTCTAGCTTTCCTTGTGAAACCATGGGTATTGGTACAGCCTTGAGTAGAACTTCTTACCTGGTTTGTGAATCCCCACAATTTGTTCAAGACCCATTGCTTGGACACAATGTCATATTGTCCAGTAAGCAAGGAGATTGCTGGATGACTTGTACTTAATCATCAGTGGTGATTGATTTCATGTTTTTGTCACCACATCACAGATTCGGCTTCTAGATCTAGCTGGGATTGATTTCTCCCCCAACCCCATAGACCTTCCTAGAGAACCACAGCCTCTTGTCCAGCTCGTGTTACTTATTAATCTTTAGAGAGGAGTTTCGCGTGTTTGTTACGATGTTGTTGTGTACCGTAGAGTCAGGATAGAGCCATAGCTGAGCCTTCGGTGGGTTTTCAGAGGCAGTTAATAGCATGGGAGGAGAATGCCCATCTTTCTCTGATGGGGTAGCTGGTGAGTTTGAACTGTGTGCCTTCAAGATGGCAGTGCAGCTTCTTACTGCTAGGCCACCAGAGGTCTCTATTGTTGTTAGGGGTTGTCATGTCAAGTCCCACCCAGAGCAGCCCTATCCTGTATAGAACTGAATCTAACCCTGCCCCATCCTGCACCACAGTTATGGTCGAGATCTCACTGATGGTGCAAAAAGGTTATAAAGTCAGTACAGCTATTTTTAAACTTGAATTACTAAGCTTAAACAGGCATGAACTTGTCTTGTTCATTGGGTATTCTGCCTCTGCCCAGACATCTGTTGAGTGAATCTACCACATCTGTGATGACCCATCTCCTGAGTCCTCATAGTGGGGACTTCTCAGGCCCATTTGAAGCTTTTGGACACCAGGATGTGTCGGTGGTGGTGGTGGTTGTGTGCTGTCAAGTTGGAATCGACTCATAGATGACCCTGTGGGTTTTCAGAGGCTAAATCACATGGGAAGAGATTGTCCATCCTTCTTCTGTGGAACAGCTGGTGGATTTGAGCCTTGTTCTTTTGTGTTAGTAATGCACCTCCTTTCCACCAGAGCTCCCTGTATATGTATCAGTGGAGGACCCCGTATTAATATTAAAAAGTAATAAATATCTAAATCTTTACAATGCTTTTGTTTTCTGTTAAAACATAATCTTTTATTTGCTTCTTTTCTTTTTTATTTTATACTGGTTTACATACAAAGCTCATAATATTCGTATATATTGATTTTTATACCGGATCTTTCAGTTTTAGTTTACCCATCTCTCCCTCCACCCATCAAATTATGTGACCCTATGATTCAGCACCCCTGGCTTGGATCCTCATACTCATTCTACTATAATGGTCTTATTCAGTATTTGTCCTTATGAGGCTGAGTTAGTTCACTTAGTATAATGCTTTCCAGTCCCTGCCGTGGTAGATAGTAATTTACAACATCATTACTCCTGCATGCTACATAGTGTTCCATTGTGTGAATGTACCACAATTTCTCAGCCCATTCCATTGTGGTTGGACATTTGGGCTGTTTCCATGTTCTTGTGATAGTGAATAATACTGCTGTGAACATTGATGTACAAGTCTCTGTGTTGTTGTTTTTGTTAAGAGCTGTAGAATCGTAGACGTCACATAGCGACCCTATGAACCAAAGTCTTGAACACAAAACTTTCATCTTTTCTCCAAGTTCATAGTGTTTCTGGAAGGCAAGCTTTTTTTTTTTTATTATTGGAGGTGGATACTGTTCCAGCTTCCAAGCCAGTTTTATTCGGGAGATCCACAAAAACCAGCCCAAAAGCCTTTTTTAAAGGTGAGGCCAAACCCCATCATCTCACACCCTATTGTGAGCAAGAGCCACACCCTAATCTCAACTCCAAACCAGCAAATACACCTCTGCAGAATCTGGCTTTCTGTGTACAATGCTTATCTTAAAAGTAATGGTCTAAGCTAACAAAGTATAATGAATCCTTTCACCCTTCACCTTCGTTGTGACTAATATGCCTGAATCTTCATAATAGCTGAGTCAAGGTTTGTATTCAGAATTCTTGGATTCCTCAGTTGTATTCTAAAGAAGATGACACTGGGGGTTGGCCTTTCATCCCAATTCACCCCCTCGTCTTTTCCACTCCCGCCTATGTCCCACCTAAGGAGAGATCTCTGTGGTCAAGTTCTATCCATACTCTCAGCCCCGAACAGACCATCACTCCCAGCCAGTTTCCTGTCTTAGGGTGTACCCCCTGGGTCCTCTGAAGGTAGGGGCTGGGGAACAGGCCCTGGAGATTGGAGCTGAAGCTGTTAGGGAAGGGAATTCTCTGTAGTCTGGCATCTTGTCTAGAAGAAGAAATGAGGCCTCTCTGTTTTGGGAGGGGTACAGCTGGACGAGATGAAAACCCTAAACCGAAGTCTGAGAGTGGACTCTGTCTACTTACTCTCCTTCCCTCAGCTGTTACCCCCACCACCACCCCAAGTTCATCTTCCCCAGACTGCAGAGTTACCCTTCCCTTGCTTTCCCGCTTGGCCATCCTTCTGTATATATGTGTATTGGAGTCAGCTTATCCCTCAGGCCCCTCCTTCTCTGCCCAGGTCTGTGGTTTTAGATTAGAATGCCTGCCGTCACGCTGAGGGCTGTGTGCATTTGCATGTATGTATCAGTCTTTCTGAGGAAGGTGTCAGAGTACTGAAAGGTAGAAGTGTCATTATGCACACATCCTTATGAGGGTAAACCTATTTTGAAGTGATTATTGGTATTTTCCTTTTTTCCCAGCCACTACCTAAATTTCATGCAAATGGGAAGATCTTATTTTATAACATCACTGTGAAAAGTCTGAGCGAACCTTCGAGATCAGAGCTCCACTCTGTTCCTGCGCTGATTACTCACAGAGACCTGACCCTGCCCCAGCAGCACCCCTACCAGATCTGCGTCACGGCCAACAACAGCGTGGGCTTGTCTCCCCCTGCGGTAATCGTCATCCCCAGCAACTCTGGACACGGTGAGTTTTGGATTCTTCATATTCTCTCCCTTGTAGGATAAAGAACCAAACAGTTTGGAAAGATAGATGTTAGCCGCTGAAAAGCTGTGAGTCATTTCCTGTGGGGCCAGGATTCCAGCAGGGATGGCCCAGTGAGGCAAGGAGGAGATCCTGTGTGGGAAGAGGTCACTTCTGCCCTGGGCATTCTTGAGCGTATTTGAGAAAGTAACCCAGAAATGTTCAAATAAGTGCAGCACCAGCAAATGACCCTCACAAAGCATTACAAATGGTACTGACATGTTTGGAATATTCTTTATGAATAATGAACTGCATTCATTGTGCAAGCGAGGTGCAAAGATAACGTGCTTGGCTGCCAAGCAGAACATCCGTGGCTGAGTATACCCAGAGGTGCCTCAGGAGAAAGTCCTGGCAATCCACATCTGAAAACCCACCACTGAACACCATATGGACTTTTAACTCACACACGGCCACCATGAGTCAGAGGTGGCTCAGTGGCATCTGGTTTTGGTTGTGCTGTTTGTGTGCGGGATGTGAGTCTTCCTTGTATATAAAGATCATATTAACACTTCCCTTGATCATAGGAACTAGCAACAACTTTTGAGTGGACTTTTGACAAAATTATAGGGGGGGAAACGTCCTCAGATAAGATAAGTGACTAATCTTTTGGCCTTGAATGACCAAACAAGGCAGAAGTGATGTTGTTGTTGTTGTGTACCATCGAGTTGCCTGCGATTCATAGCAACTCTGTGTACAAAAACAGCTCTGAATCCTTCCCTATCCTGAACCAGTCTCACTGACTCTGACAGACACAATCTCACATCTCCAGTCACTGAGCCAGTCCATCTCATCCTGGGTTTTCCTCTCCTGTGCTGTCCCTCCACTCTTCCAAGAATAATGCCTTTCTCTGGGAACTGCTCCCTCCTGGCCACATGCCCAGAGTATGTGAGACGGAGCTTCAAAATTTTGCCTACATCCATAGAGCAACTTGGTTTCACCCTCTCCAGGACTGACCTGTTTGTTTTCCTGGCAGTCCAGAGTATATTCAACACTCTTTTACCACACCACAACGTGAATGCATTAATTCTTCTGTCATCCTTAGTCATTGTCTAGTTCTCTGAGACATAGCAAGTAATTGCGAAAACCATGGCCTGGATCAGGCACACCTTAGTTTCTAGACTGACATCATTGCTCTTCAGTACTCTAGAAAGGTCCCTGACAGCCAACATTCCCAATGCAGTTCTTCTTTTGACTTCCTGACTCCTGGTGCCAAGAGTGTTAACTGTGGAACCAAGAAGGGTCTCAGTGTCTTCTCCATCTGTCATGAAGCTGCCAGTTGTACTCAAGTTGAGAACGAAGGAAATTATTTTTTTTAATTAATTTTAATGAACCTTTACAGAGATTTTGGATTTCCATTCATTCACTGTTGCATTTTCCTCCCTGCCTACCCCTCCCCGCCAGTTCACTCTTCTCTTTGAAAAGTAAAAGAAAAATTATTTCATTGGTATACAATCCCTCCCCCCCCTCCACTGAGTACACTGAACTAAGCAACCTTCATTCTGGACTCTTGTTGTAACCATAATACGAAGGAAATAATTTTACATTTAAATGTACTGCTGGTTCTACAACCAGGAGAAGATAAAATAGATGAATGGAGCCTCTAAGAATCAAATCCCTATGCACATCCAAAAACTTCTCCACCAGGGTAAAAAGGGAAGCCACAGACTGGGAAAAAGTATTTGGTAATGACATGTCAGATAAGGGACTTATATCTAGAATTCATAAATTACTTGAGCACCACAAAATAAAGGTAAATAATACAATTGAAAAATGGTCACAGGATATGAACAGACACTTTACCAAAGAAGACATTCAGATGGCCAACAAGCACATGAAGCAATGTTCATAATCCCTAGCTCTAAGAGAGATGCAAATCGAAACAGCTATGAGATATCATCTCATCCCAGTCAGAAGAGCAAAATTTAACAAAACATCAAGGAAAAATGCTGGCGAGGTTGTGGAGAAACTGGAACCCTAAATGTACTGCTGGTGTTAATGCCTTCTTGGGAGAGCTGTTAGAAGAGATCGGTTGCAGTGACAGCTAGATGGTGCAGTGTATGTTTTTGTTGTTATGTCAGCTGTGACCTTGTGAACAATAGATCTGAGCCTGGTCTTCTTGATTACTTGCTGTGCGTCTCAAAGTTGGACAGTGACTAAGAATGACAGAAGAAGAGAAATTTTCTTCTTCAGTGCCATTGAGTTGGGTATGATTCATAGTGACCCTATGAACAACAGATCTGAACCCTGTCCTATCCTGTGCCGGCCTCACACTTCCTGACACACTCGAGCCCATTGCTGTAGTCACTATTTAAGGCCACCTAGTTGAGGGTCTTCCTCACCCTCTTGCCTTTCTACACGTGTAATGTTGATTCAATCTGAAGCATTGCTCTGTTTGTTTTATTCAGAAGAGATTGGAGAGGAGAGAGTTATAGGCACAGAGGCCGGGATTGCACTGTCTTGGAGGCCTCATTCCAGAAAGGCCACGGGCTATGTTGTGGAGTGGTGTGACCGGCCCAGAGAGTCGCTCTGTGGTCTCCGGTGGTGGACACTAGGCCCCAACACCACAAGCGCCGTCATCAGCTCAGGTAACATCCCTCCCCGTCACCGTCTGGCTTCATCCTATTTGAGAAGTTTCGACTGGGATTTCTGGACCTAGATGAGATAATATTGTTGAAATCACAAATCTCACATTATTATTATTAATAGGAGATTATAATTTTATAATGTGGTATTATAAGTGTTGACATTTAAAGAATATCTAGGTCGAAGGCTGGGGTGAGTTTTCCGTGGCTCTATGAGTGTGTATTTTCCCCCTTCTAAATCAGTGTGTATCATGGTGGAACACATGCTGCAGAATTTTCCTGACTGTGACTTTTTTGGGAAGCAGATTGCATGGATTGTATTCAGCGCTTGTCCGGAGAGCTTTTGCAAAGACAGCAGAGGAGATGGACTTAGGTGATATTTCGAGTTAATCATCAGCTCCATTTAAGTTCAGTCAAATAATGTAGAACTTGAACTCCCACCTCTCACCTTGGATTAGCTAATGTGACGATTGCTGGGTTAGCTGCAGACTGCCAGAAGAGGGGAGCAGTCTGCCCTGGAGGAATTGCAGCCAGAATGCTCCTTAGAAGCAAGGACAGTGTGACTTGGTCTTCTCGACGCTGGGCATGTTAGCTGGAAGGGCCAGTCTCTGGGGAAGGACACCTGGCTTGTTAAAGTGGAGGATAGCGAGAAAAGTCTTCAGTGAGATGAGCTGACACAGTGGCTCCCACAGTAGGCTTAAGTACAACAAGATTGTGAGGATGGCCCAGGAACCTACAGGGTTACAATTGGAACCAACTTGGAGACACCTAACAATGAGTTAACCAAGGAGTCAGTCCCTAGGTTGTGCAGATACTTATCACACTTGGCCAGTATCTGAAAGGTTGAGCTTACCCAGAGGTTTCTTGGAAGCAAGGCCTGGTAGTCAGTGAAAAATCAACATGAAAGCCTTGTGGAGCACAGTTCGGCCCTAGCACCCGTGAGGCTGCCATGAGCTGACATCTACTCACTGGTAACTGGCATTTAGCAAAATCAAGGAATTGGGCAGAGGGGCTAGTGGTGCCTGCTGCCGGGCCCAAGAGAAAAGTCTGGAATAGTCTGCACCCAGAAGGTGATAGTGGCTTGATACTGCATCATCCTTGGGGGTGGAGGGTGAGAGCTTGGTGGAATCCTTGGCAAGCGCAAGTCTATTGGAATGATGGGAACTAGGTACTTCCATGAGCAGAAGCATCCAGGGAAAGTCAGGGAGCAGAAGCAAAGCATCCAGAGGCTCAGCTTTGAGTGAGAAGAGGGAAGGCAAGTGCCCACAGGAGGATTAGAAGTTCAGGGAGGCATTGAAATCATTGCACTGTGGTCTAACCCTGAACACAGTTTCATGCACACTTGTGAGTGCAGAATGTTTGAGAGAAAGGTCTTAGCCAGTAGAGGGCAAGACAATCCCTTTGGCTGGAGTGGAGATGGTAGTGGAAGGTGAAGAAAGGTCTTAGCCAGTAGAGGGCAAGACAGTCCCTTTGGCTGGAGTGGAGATGGTAGTGGAAGGTGATGGGGTCCAGGCCTAAGGTAAGGAAAGAAGATGCTGTTATTGGTGCATAAGAGTTCTGAGAATGAAATCATTGTGGACACAGAAACTCGTCATTCTCTTTTCAGAAAGAGATTGTGACCCTGTGGTTTTGAAACTCAGTTGACTTTTCTTTTCTAGATGCTTTTACTCCAGGAGTGAGATACAACTTCAGAATTTATGAAATATCTACAACGTATACTGCTTCTTTAATAGAGAAAAAAACAGGCTACTCCCAGGAGCTGGGTAAGTTGACAACCTTGAGTATATCCCGTGGGTAGAACATCCCATGGACTCTTAGCTCGGAATTTCTGACAGTTTCCATATTTTGTGTAACTATCCTTTTCCCCTTTATTCTGGCAGTTGCCTTTTCATCTTGTTTCAATCATACAAGTGTCAAAACACTTTTAATGGATATGGTTTGTAAAATTGTAGGCAAAAAAAAAGGAAAAATCACTGCTAATTTTACCACCCAGTGAAAACTGTTTAGAGTTAATATTTTATGAGTAGTCCTGGTAATCCTTTCTCTGTACATAAAAACAGCAGTGAATTGAGAGATGCCTTTGCAATAAAAATGAGCGCTTACACAATAAGCTGCTTTTTGTTACTCAACCATGTCCCTTTCCTGATGCCACACTTTGAAGTGACTTCAGGATGAGGAAGACTCAGCAGTAGCCTCTGTTATGCAGATGACACAGTCTTATTTCCAGGAAATGAAGAGGACTTGTAGCCCTTACTGCAGAAGATCACAGACTATAGCCTTCAGCGTGAATTACATCTCAACAAAAATCCTCACCACTGGGCCACTAGGAAACATGATAGGTGAAGAAAAGATTGACATTGTCAACTATTTCATTTTGCTTGAATCCACAGTCAATACACATGTAGCAACAGTCAATGAATCAAAAGACATGAATTACATTGACCAAATATGCTACCAAGGAACTCTTCAAAGAGCCAAAGGGCAATGATGTCAGTTTAAAGACTAAGGTGCTCCCAATCCAGGCCATGGTATTGTCAGTTGCTTCCTGTGCATTTGAAATTTGGAAAAAAAGAAAAAAAAATAGAGAAGACTGAAGAAGAATTGATTTTTAAATTGTGGTGTTGTGTAAGAGTACTGAATAGCCCATGGAATGCCAAAAGAACAAACAAATCTAGCTTAAAGGAGCAACAGAAGTGCTCCTGAGGAGTAAGGATGGTGCACCTTCTTCTCACCAAATGTGACCATTTTGTCAGGAGGATCTGGCCCTTGGGGTGGGAGATGCTGAGAAAAATAGAGGCCTGGGGAAAGAGAGGGAAACCCTCAACGAGATGATTTGACATACATAGTCAAGGCCACAGTCTCTACAGGACCGAGATCATGAGGACGAAACGGGATAGGGCAGGTTCTGTCCTGTTGTTCACAGGATCACTGTGCATGGTCGGTGACTTGATGGCTTCTAACAACTTCAGCCTGTCATTTTGAAGATTGGAAAGGATCTTGTGGTCGTCATAGGCACCATCACCTGTTGATGAATATTTAGGATTAGTTGTAAGATTTTTTCAATTAGAAAATGAGGTTTATCTTCCAGTATCTTACAGCCTACAGCCACAGATACTAAATCTCTCTCTCTCTCTCTCTCTCTCTCTCTCTCTCTGTCTCTCTCTCTCTCTCTCTGTCTCTCTCTCTCTCTCTCCCTCGTTTCATATGCCCTATCTGAATCACCATCATTTACTATGAGGAATGTCTAACTATAAATGAAAAAAATTCAAGTCATGAATTGTAATACTCACAGATACTATGGGCAAAATATTGAAAGACGCAGTAAGCATCAAAAGAATATGAAGGAATACACAGAACCCTGTACCAAAAAGAATTGGTTGACACACACCATTTCAGAAAGTAGTATCATCAAGAATCAATGGTATCAAAGGAAGAAGTCCAAGCTTCATGGAAGATACTAGAAAAAAGGAACTGATTGAATATCAATTGCTGTATTTCAGCAAAGAAGTGCAGTATCTTGGGCATGCTTACAAGTCTTTTCCAATAAATATGAAAGACAGCTACCAGACCAATTAGCAAGAAGAGATCCTTATTTGTGCCCATTTAAAAAGAAAAAAGATGATTCAACAGAATATAATATTATTAAACAATATAATTAATTTCTCAAACAAATAAAACCTTGCTGAAGATTACTAAATAACATCTGGGACACTGTATCAACAGTGGACCACCAGAAATTTAAGCTGAAATCAGAAGAGGCCATGGAACAAAAGATGCCATTGCTGATGTCAGATGGAACGTGGCTGAAAGCAGAGAATACTGGGAAGACATTTTCTTCTGTTTTATTGACTATACAAAGATAATCAACTGTGTGGATAACAATAAATTGTTAATAACATTGAGAAGAATAGTCATTCTAGAGCACTTAATTGAGTTCCTGTGGAACATGTACATAAACCAAGAAGCCATCATTGGAACAGAACAAAGGGATTTAAAATTAGGAAGGTATGTACCAGGGAGGGTTGTATCTTTACATCATACCTGTTCATGTTTTTAAAAAATTACATTTAAAAAAATTATCAATTGCTATGCATCTGAGAGCTGGACAGTGAATAAGGATAACAGAAGAATTGATGTCTTTGACCTGCGGTGTTGGAGAAGAGCACTGAACATCCCATGGATGGCCAGAAGAACAAACAAGTATGTTTTGGAGATGGTACAGACAGAGTTCTCCTTGGAAGCAAAGATGATAAAGTTTCACCTCACATATTTCAGTCATGTTGCCAGGAGGGTCTGCTCCTTGAAGAGGGACATGATTCTCGGAAAGCCTGAAGATCAGTGAAAGAGAGGAAAACCCTCAACCAGGTGGATTGACACAGTAACTGTTGCAGTGGGCTCTAGTGTGTCAAGAAGTGTGAGGATGGCTCAGGACAGGACAGGGTTCAGGTCTTTTGTTCATAGGGTCGCTGTGGGTCATATTTGATTCAAAGACACCTAACAACAACAACATTCAATATGCTTACTGAGCAGATAATTTGAGAATCTGGATTCTGTGAAGATAATTGTGACATTGAGACTACTGAGTCTTCCTCTGATACTCAGATGCCACACTCTTGCTTTTTGGAAATGAAGAGGCCTTGAAACACTTTCTGGAGAAGATCAAAGACGATAGCCTTCACTATGGATTACACCTTAACATCATGAAAAACCCTTACAGCTGGACCATTAGGCAACATAGTGATAAATGGAGAAACAATGAAATTTGTCAATGATTGCATTTTAACTGGATGTACAGTCTTGACTTGCAGCAGTCAAAAAATCAAAAGATATGTTGCATTGGGCAAATCTGTTGTCAAGGACATCTTTAAGTGCTAAAAAGCAGGATTATGCTTCTTCCAAGATAGATATTTGTTTCTTCTTTTGGCAGTTCACTGCATAATCAATATTTTTCACCAGCACTATGATTCAAAAGCATCAGCTCTTAAAGCTTCCTGTGTATTGTCGAGGTTTTACATGTATATGAAGTGATTCAAAATGCCATGGCTTGAGTTAGGAGTATCTTAATATTTAAACTAACAACTTTGCTCTTTGATATTGTAAAGAGGTCCTTGACATCAGATTGGCCCGAGGGTTCCACTCATTTGGGCATCTTATCAGGAGGATCTGGTCCTTGGAAAAGGACTTTATGGTGGGAAAGTAGATGGTCAGTGATGGAGAAGGCTTAAAGAGTTAAATCAAAGAAGGACCTTCAGTCTCTCTGCTGTGTGACCTTGATGCCAAGACTTAGCCACTCTGGTCAGCCATTGATTAAGAGGATTTGAAGTCCTTTCTTGCTCCTCCGAACTGTTGAACAGTGGAGAGAAAGAGAAAAAGTCCTTCATGCGACAAAAAAAACCTTCAGCTGGCTTCACCATTGGAAGCAGTGGTTGTATTTTGTGTCTGTATGAATGTTTTGAGACCATTTACCAAATCTTGGCTATGCTTTTATCCCAACTTCTTTTCCCAGCTCCTTCAGACAACCCTTTGGTGATCATCGATAGTTTGACACCCCACTCCTTCTCTATGAGTTGGAAGAAACACTCCACTGAGTCCCAGCCTGGCTTCATAAAAGGGTACTACATCTATCTCAAAACCAAGATGGACAAGTGCTCCCCTGGATTCAAAAGGACTGTTGGTGCAGGTGACTTGGTGGTTTTGGTTTGTGTGCTTTCTGAAGATGTAATTATTGTAAAAAATTAGAAATGCTACCATCACCAACTGGCCAGGCTGAATTCCTTTCTTGTGTGATCTTTTCCAATATTTTATTCTTTAATGTTGAAATGTGTGTGTGTGTGTGTGTGTGTGTGTGTAGAGAGAGATCTTTGTTGTTGAGTACTTTCGAGTCAGAAAGTCTTCATAAATGACCCTGCAATAGGTTTTCACAGCTGTAAACTGCCCATCATTCTCCCACGGAGCAAAGCATAGATATACATACACATGTGTATACATAAACGTGTGTGTGTGTGTGTGTGTGTGTGTACACACATTCTGGTGGCTCATTGAGAAACAGTGGCACTATCAGTCTAAAGGCCCATGGTTTGAATTTACCGACTGTGCAGAGGGAGAAAGATGGCAGTTGAAGTTTACTGCCTCTGAATATTCACTGCAGGGTCAGCTTTGAGGAGGTTTCACTCGATGGTACATTACAACAATGACAATATATATATATATGTGTGTGTGTGTGTGTGTATGTATATATATGTGTGTGTGTGTGTATATGTGTGTATATATATGTGTGTGTGTGTATATATATATACACACACACAGATCTCAAAGTGTTTTAATTCAACATCTTTTTCAAGTGTACGATTTAATACTGTCACTTCCTTTAACCATATTGACAGCCTTCCCATCATTGTAAGAGCTTCAGCTTGAACAAGAGTGAGGACTGAGACTTTCGTTTCCATGGAAAATAGTGTGGCCTGATGTTTTTAGAAGCCCTTAGAAGCACTAGTAGCTTCTTAAGAAAACCAGCCCCTTGGGAAGTGTTTTTCTTGGCCTTTTTACTTTTAAAATTTCTTTTTAAATGTCTTGAAAACTCTCCCTGGTGTTGCTCAAATGGGTGTCTTGTTTTTCCTGCCATCGTCTGAACATTTTACCACCACGGCCCTCAAGGTCCTCAGTGTGAACAGTTATATGTTCATTTGATTTAAAAACATTGACAATACAGAGACCATCAGGGCTTTGGTGCCTGATTTCTTCACCAGACCTCTGTCAGACTCGGTAATTTTTTTCCTGAACCCCAGCTTGCTTTTTCCCCCCGTCACAGGTGATTCAGCATTTTGCAAATACAAAATCAACAACCCTGAACAAAAATCATTTGTGGTGGACAAGCTGCAGCCAGAGTCCTTCTATGAGTTTCTGGTCACTCAGTACACAAGTGCCGGCGAGGGCCCCAACGGCACGTTTACGAAGGTCACGACGCCAGATGAACATGGTAAGTTTTTCCAAGTCAGCACTATCCCCTCCATTCCTGGGAAGTGGATAAATCACACAAACGTTGGGTCTCGCTTTGTCTCCATTAGAAAATTTTAAACTTTTCCTCTCACTCATTTTCTTCCTCTCTTTTGTGAAATCCTTTGTTTCATAAACACACATAACGTAAGTCTCACTACATACAACAGAAAAAAAGTGGAGTCAAGCAGACTTGAAATGGCCTTGCCCTTTCTTCTCCCTTCCTCAGTGACTCCTGATGGATGTCTCTGGAAACTCATCAAAATAATTTAAAAAGCACAGTGCTAACTTCAGACAAGGACAGTGACATTTTTTCTCATCAGAACTGTTTTTCTCAGGCAGCCTCCCCTGACTGGCTCCACTCAGGTCCATTAATGGCTGCTGGACTTTACCAGTGACTCCTTCTTCCTTTGGAAGTTGTTAGGCTGCGGCAGGGATCAGGGAAGGGCAGGGAGCATTTGTCCACAATTCCATGTTTGCAATATGGGTAACAGAAGGGGTGAAGTGGAGGAGTCAGTATTTTAAAAATTTATTTGGTTTGTCACATAGATCCTGACAGCAAGCATGTCTGTTTGTGTCTTATTGACTATGCAGAGGCATTTGACTATGTGAATCATCATAGGAAATTATGGCTAACATTAAGAATGGGGATCCCAGAACACTTAACTGTAATCATGAGAAATCTATACTTTGCCGGAAGCCGTTGTTTGAATGGAGCAAGGGAACACTGCATGGTTTAAAATCAGTCAGGGTGTACTTCAGGGTTGTATCATCTCTCCATACTGTGAAGAAAAATGTGACATCAAGATCAGAGGCAGGCTCATCAATACCTGTCTTATGCAGATTACACACACTTGCTGAGAGTGAAGAGTATATGAAGTATCTTCTTGCTGCAGAAGATCAATGACTACAGCCTTCAGTATGGATTACATCTCAACATCAAGAAAATAGAGGTTTTCACTACAGGACCAACAGTCACCAGGACAAGTTGAGAAAGGAATGAAGCTATCAATGATCTAATCTTGCTTGGATCCACAGTCAACACCCTTGGTACCAGCAGTCAGGAAATCAGGAGAGATACTGCATTAGCAAAGTCCACTGTCAGGGACCTCTCCAAAATGCTGAAGAGCAATGATGCCAGTTTGAAGACTAAAGTGTGCCTAATCCAGGCTTCTCAATCTTCTCAATCACCTGCTGCACATAAGGGAGCTGCCCAGTGAATAAGGATGGAAGAAGAAGAAGAAGCAATGCCTGTGAGCTGCGGTGCTGGAGAAGAGTACCGAATATCCCATGAACTGACAAAAGAACAAACAGATATGTCTTGGGAAAAGTGCAGCTAGGGTGCTCTTTGGAGGCAAAGAAACATTTTCAGTGTTTCTTTCAAGTGTTAATATTGGGCTGATAAAATAATCACTTTAGTGGAAAATGTTTATCTTTTCCTTTGTTAACAAATTTCTTCTCACACATTCCAGCTCTTGCAAGTTTTGCGCTCTCTCTGTCTCTGTGTGTGTGTGTGTGTGTGTGTGTGTGTGTGTGTCCGTTGCTATTAAGTTGATTCTAGTTAAGACCCTCTCCACTGGATTTCCAAGGCTATAAATCTTAATGGCAGAAGACTGCTCATTTTTCTCACATACAGAGCCTGGTGGATTCAAACCTCCATCCATTTGTTAGAAAGCCCAACAATCTGTCAAGCATTCTCTCTCTCTGTCCCTCATTGCCCTTGACTCGAAACCTGACCGTAGCTGACTCTCCAGCGGGTTTTCATGTGAAAGGAGATAACCCACCTCCCTCCCCCAGAGCCGCTGGTAGATTCGATTGCTGGACAAGCACTACCTTTTGGGTTGTGGTGCAGCTCCACTTAAGCTCATAGCACAACCAGTTGAAGATAGAACTATGCAGCCAAAGTGCATGCACTCTCTGTCTCTCCATCTCAGAGATGCTTTGGAAGAAAGGGCTGCAATATGGTGATTTCCTTCCAGAACACCAGTGTTCATAGCAGCAGCATTCACCATCGCAAGAACATGGAAACAGCCCAAATGTCCAACCACAAACGAACGGATTGAGAAATTATGGTACATTCACACAATGGAATACTATGCAGCACACAGAAGCAATAACTTTGTAAATTATTACCTAACTTGGGAGGAACTGGAGAGCATTATGCTGAGTGAACTAACTCAGTCTCACAAGGACAAATAAAACCATTATTGTAGAATGAGTCTAAGGATCCAAGGCAGGGAGAGGTTGGAAGCAGAGGGATGAGGATGTGCAGGGCGAGGAGGGGATTAATCATGGGATTGTACAATTTGATGGGTGAGTTAAATTGGAAGAATCTGTTCTCAAAAACAATGTATTAGAATTTTGTAAATAAACTAAAAAAAAGTCAACTTGGGGACGGGGAAAAGAGGTAGAGGGGGTAAAAAGTGCAACAGTGAATGAATGAAAATCTAACTTTTCTGTAAACATTTGTTAAAATCACAATTAAAACAAAAAAATTATTTTAAAAAATCAGTCCTTTGGGTGGGGGGTAGAGAAAAAAGTGCAACAATGAGTGAATGGAAATCCAAAATCTCTATAAAT